TTCCTAGTCTGGCTCTCTGGCCTCTGGGCTTTGGGGACCTGCCTGAGGCCTAAGGGGAATGGTTCTGAAGGGAATGACTCCTGCGAGAAGGTCGTACACACTGAGAACACGGGGACATTTGCTCCCTAGAACACCTTTTGTTCTTCTAATAAAGTGTTTTTGCAACAAGAAGCCAGCAGAGTTGCCAGATAAAATACAGGATGCCCAGTTAACATTTTCCAGATAAGCAGCAGTCATGTTTTTAGTTTAAGTATATCCCACGCAATATGCAGAACATGCAGTCCTCATGTCGAAACGTTACTCCTTAGCTGAAATGCACATTTAGTTGAGTGCCTTATATTTTTATTTGCTATTAATCAATATGGTAGCCCTAAAAGCCAGTTTAGTGGCCTGAGATAGCTGACACACCGGTGAAAGTTGGCCACAGGCGAAAATGTGTGTGATAGAGCTAAGCGAGGATGTGTTTTTAAAATAATGAACCAGGAATTGGTTTTGAATATAAAGTACTCTTCATCCTATTTATTGATACTTTACAAAGGTGGTAACTTAAATAAATAGAATTTATTAATAGAGGATAATGACTATTTTGTGTATTTAAAATGCTTCTATTATTTTCATATGTTTTATCTTTTTCTCTCTTTCTCTCATTCCCTAGTGACATCGACCAGCAGTATTTAAACTACATATTCAGGTAAAATATAATTTATATTTTTAAACCATATATATCCTTCTAGAGTTAATGGATTTTTATTTTCCAATGTTACTTTGATTAAAGGGTTCTGGGCCAACGTGCTTGCTAGGAAGGCAAATGAAATAATTTGTGAGATGACCAGAACTGAAGGAACCAAATAGTTTTCCTCCCCTAAAACCGAGCAAGAGGGGCCTTTGTCCATCTCTGAACTTCAGCGGGCCATAGCCCTCCCTTGGGACATGGCATCATTAGAAAGGCCCAGAGCCCACCCCCTCACTTCTAGACTGTGCCTCCCCTAGTGGTCCTAGCTCACGAGCCCAGGGCCTCCCTAGGTCTATCTTCCAACTCATTCCTAGGCCCAAGGAGATTCCTGAAGGAGGCTGTTAGTGGGAGGGGTGCAGAGTGACCATGGCCTTAGAGCCTCAGTGTGTGAGGCCCTCGGGCTGCAGGTTGGAGCCTGGGGTGGAAAGAGAAGGGAGTATGTTGGCAGCCAGGAGCCAGAGGCTTCAATCTGCCATGAAGCCCCAAGACATCTAAGAGTTTTCAGGTTAAATCCAGACTTCAGCATGTTTTGAAGGTGTATTTGTTAAGGTACAACGAAGCTTGATTTACAATATTTAAATATAGTGTGTGGACTTCTGTTTGTATCTTTGCCCCATACCAAGCAGAGAATGGACCTGCTAAACAGAACAGCAGGGGCTTTCTTGGACTTGAGCTGTCCCAGACTATGCACTACAGGCACCTGACTGAAAGGCCAAGTGAGGTTTGCTGCTGGGAACCCCCCTTTGCCTACCGCAGCCACCCCTAGTAAAGAGGACCAGGTCAGAGGCATACCTCAGCATTTGGCCATGCTGATGACGGGAGGAAGGTACTTGCTGAAAATGTGCGGTGTGGGCTATAGTCTTCATTTGCAGATAGAGCTCATAAATATCTTAGTATTTATTAAAATCCTTTTTGAGAGCAAGATTGGCCCCAAGCTTGGCTGTGGGCCTCTTCATCAGAACAAAGGCCACTGTTCGATTTCCCACTGGCACTGAGTGCTGAATGATCTGTGCCAGCTTAGTTTTGTGAGCTGTCCTTGTGTGTGGCCGGCCCGGAGCTCTGCCTGCCAGGGCACAGAGTCGGTTTGCATTCCCAGGGTTTTTTGTTGTTATTGGTTTTTTTTGAGACAGAATCTCATTCTGTTGTCCAGGCTAGAGTGCTGTAGCATCATAGCTCACAGCAACTTCAGATTCCTGCACTCCAGTGATCTTCCTGCCTCAGCCTTCCAAGTAGCAGAGACTACAGGTGCCTATTCCAGTGCTCAGCTAATTTTTCTATTTTTAGTAAAAAAGAGGTCTTGCTCTTGCTCAGGCTGGTCTTGAACTCCTGAGCTCAAGTAACCCTCCTACCTCGGCCTCCCAGAGTGCTAGGATTATAGGCATGAGCCACCGTGCCCAGCTCTGGTCTCTCAGGTTTTTGAGAGTGGCACGTATTTGGGTGGTTTTCTACCTTTGACACATACATCTATTTTCTTGAGGAGATGTTTACTCCTTGACCTTGACTTTTGGTGTTTCTGTCACTCATATAACTAGAGATATAAGTTATATGGGCAGGGGGAAGGATGAAGGAAAGAATAAAGAAGACTAGATATGGGGCTGGAATTGACTGGAACTTCTGAAAATGGGTATGGCTTTGACCTGCATTGGGGAGATTTGGGTAATGTATATGTAGCAAATATGGATATACTAGTAATGCCATTTCTTTTTAATATGAGACACACTCCAGCCTCTCCCCATGTATTACATGTATTACATAGAAAAGTGCCGTAGTGTTACCTGTTCACACTCCATCTCCTTATTTTGCAAATGCGAGTTTGTGTGTCTCTGTTAAAGGGAGACAGATGGGTATTCTCTTTAGGACGTGACGTAGACAGAAAAAATGTATTGGAAATACTTCTCAGGCCTCACACTCGATCCTACCTTAACAAATATGCCTTCAAACAACCTGGAATGTGTAGAAATTACATTTCTTTCATGTTTTCCCATTGTATTTCCTATGAGCATAAGGATGTTTTCTATTTCGTTTGTTCTGTTTTATGGACTGCCATATTCTAGGATATTAGAAAAATACCTGACATATATTAGGCACTCAATGAAATTTATTGAGTGAATGGATTAAAAATGTCTGCTGTTTATCTGGTATGATGGGCCTTTTATATTAGTATAATTTCCCCATTAAGGTTTACATGTGATTTATAATCTTTGAACTATAGGGGGCCTCAAGTTATATTTGTTTTTATACATGATTAACTGCATTCAGAATATGTATTGAGCTCCTGCTGTATGTGCGGTGCTGCTAGGTGCTAGGGATCCAGAGATGAATAAAATATGGTTCTTACCCCCAAGGAGGTCACAATGTAGGAATTAGGAGTGGCTTAACACTATATTTATAAAATTCAAATAGGGAATAGAGAACCAACTCTTTTTTTTTTGGAGACAAGAGTTTCACTTATTAACCCTCGGTAGAGTGCTGTGAAGTCACAGCTCACAGCAACCTCCAACTCCTTGGGCTTAGGCGATTATCTTGCCTCAGCCTCCCAAGTACCTGAGACTACAGGCGCCTGCCAAAACGCCCAGCTGTTTTTTTGTTGCAGTTAGGCCGAAGCTGGGTTTCAACCCATCACCCTCGGTATATGGGGCCGGCGCCGAGAACCAACTCTTTCATTTAATTATTTCTTCTTATTTCTACTCCCTATTATTTTATTTTAGGTCAGCCTTCCTTTGGGGTGATTCTGATGATGGAATTTGGGGTACCAAGGCAGGCCGTGGGAGATATTTTGGGATCTGTAGTTCTCCCTCATATCCTAGCATAGGACATATGACAGATATAAGCCCTGTCTTACATACTACAGCTTCTGAGTGGCTACATGCGTGGCTCGTCCCTATTTCCCCGAGACCTCTGACCCTCCACACTGCTACTGTTCTGGGGACACGTAGAAAACCTGAGCTTTAGAGAAACAGCAAAGGAGGAGGCTGAGAAACACAGAAGAGGTTCAGGGAGACAACCCTAGGGGCGGGCAGGGCTCCCTCCCCACTGCCTGCGATCTACCACCAGTTAGAGTTCCCTTGTGGAGCACTTCAGGGGCGCTGGGGCTGTAACAGAGTAAAACAACGATGCCTGCGCCCCACCCTGTGGACACTGGGCTGTTCTGATATGAAGCCAGCGTGTAGAGGCAGAGCAGGCCACCCAGCAGTTTTAAAAGAAAATTCCCTCCCATACTTAGGTAACAAATTTTATTCCTAGCTTCTGGCTATATCAGCTGCCTGGATGGCGTGGAATTTTGGCAGAAGAGAGTGCAGAGGGAAGGGGATTGGGCTCACCACAGCAGGCTTTGGGCAGGATGTAGGAGCTACAGATGGGTAGTGCAGGAGGGGAAAGGTTACTAGAGAGGGAAAGAGGAGGGTGCCAAGGGCAAATGTGGCTCATGTTAAAAGAACACTCCTTTCATTCTTATTTTCATACTTTCCCTTGGGTGGCATCTATTGAAAATAAATAGCTGGGCGTGGTGGCTCACACCTATAATCCCAGCACTCTGGGAGGTTGAGGCAGGAGTATTGCTTAAACTCAAGAGCTTAAAATCAGACTGAGCAAGAGCGAGACCCTGTCTCTACTAAAAGTAGAAAAAATTATCCAAGCATTGTGGTGGTCGCCTGTAGTCCCAGGTACTTGGGAGGCTGAGGCAAGAGAATCACTGGAGCTCAAG